GTGTGTGTGTGTGTGTGTGTGTGTGTGTGTGTTTGTGCATTGGTGCACATATATATGTGTGAATGCATGGGGAGGTCAGAAGTCAATGTTAGTGTCTTCCTCGATCTCTCCCCATCTTATTTTTTGAGAAAATGTCTCTCAGTGAACATGGAAATCTCCAAGTCAGCTATGCTGGCTGGCCAGTGAGCTCCAGTGATCCATCTCCTCAGTGCTGGGATTACAGACATGTGTTTCTGCCTTCGGCTTTTTATGTAGATCCTTGGAAATGGAATTTGGATCCTTAGGCTTTCAAATTAAGCACTTCATCAACTGAGACATCTCCACAGACCCCCTTTTTTTGTGGGGAAGGGAGCTCAGAAAGAATCTCACATAGCTCAGGCTGGTATTAAACTCATGTAGCCAAGGGTGACTTTGAACCTTAGATTCTCCTGTCTCACCCTTCCAAATGTTGGGGTTACATCTCTATATACTAAGAAACACTGAATTGCATTTTTTAATTTGGGATATTTTAGGAAAGTAAATTATATCTCAAATAAGTTCTAAAGGGTGAGGATAATGTCTACTTCCCTGACAACCTCATGACTTTACTAAGCGCATACAGAGAGACACTCGAAAAATGCTTGTCAGATAGGCACTACAGAAATCTGGTCAGAGCAGAAAGAAATCTTCCTGTTTCAAGGACATAAATGGAGAAGAAAAACTTCACAGGACTACATTCCAAATTTCCACACCAGATCTAATGAGATGATCCTTCACGGGAGAGAGAATTATTTTCAGCTAATGGTTTCCTAACTTCCCTTACTTGAGGTGGAAATCCGAGAACAAGACAGAGGTTGGTGCCTGACAAGTTAAGGCTCGTAGTTCTGCTTAGGTGGAAACTGTAAAACTCCTGTCATCTTGTATACACACTCACCTCCCCTCTGTGCCTTTTGCCTTCGCTCCCTTTGGTTCTTTTGAAAGAAATGGAAACGAAAGAGGGTGGATAAGGCTGTGATTTGTCTGGGCATGTCAAAATGTCTATCCCTTCCTTTACACAATAGCATACTTTCACCCCTATGCCTTGGCTCAGGGTATAGGTTTCTCTTTCTTTCTCTCTCCTTCCTTCCTTCCTTCCTTCCTTCCTTCCTTCCTTCCTTCCTCCCTCCCTCCTTTCCCCCTCCCTCACTCCCCCCTCCCTCATTTTGGGCCTAAGAGTGTAGCTCAGCAGTAGTGTGCCCCTGTAGCATGAAAGAGGCCCCGGGTTCAATCCCAACGCTCTTCCCCAAAACAACACTAGCACAGCCAACGGTTCTTTTGACATGCAGAGGGGTCACTGGGACCCCTGAAATGCAGATTGTTCTTCAAGGACATGACTTTGAAGACAACTGAGCAGATCCATAGCTGGATAAATTGTCTGGCTATAAGAGCTTACTGTGTCTATCACATTCACTACTGGACAACAAAATGGCGTGCCCTTGAGTTTCTCAGTACAGGCTGAGGAGATGGCTCAGTAGGTAAGATACTTGCCATGCAAGCATGAGGACCAGAGTTTGGATCCCCAAAATCCACATAAAAGCTGGGTGGACATGGTGGCTACCTGTAATCCTAGCAGTTAGGTGACAGAGGCAGAGAATCCCTGGAGGGAGCTGACCAGTTAGATTAGTCAAATCAGGGGGCTCCAGGTTCAGTTAGAGACCCTGCTTCAGTAAATAAAGTAGGAGAAACCAACAAAGGTAACCAGTGTTACCTTCCGGCTTCCATATACATGTGTACACATGCATACTTATATATACACATGTGCACCCCCCATGTGCAAAACACACACACACACACACACACACACACACACACAAAACAACCCCTAAACCCTCAACATATTAAGGGATAATCAAAGACATATCTTAACTCCTATGTGGGGAGAGATAGGACTTTGCATACATTTCCTTATCATTAAAAAAAAAATGGCCAGGTGGTAGTAGCACACCCCTTTAATCTCAGCAGTTGGGGTGCAGAGGCAGGCGAATCTCTGTGAGTTCGAGGGCCAGCCTGGTCTGCAAAGCAAGTTCCAGGACAGCCAGAACTATTACACAGAAAAACCTTGTCTTGAAAAACAAACAAACAAAAAAAACCCAAAAACAAAACAAAAAACAAAACATATACATATACATATACATATACATATACATATATATATATATATATATATATATGTAACAGGATATCACTCAGTAGCCCCGGCTGGCCTCAAATTCACTATGTAGACCAGGCTGGCCTCAAACTTACTCTATAGACCAGGCTGGCCCCAAACTCACTATGTAGACCAGGCTAACCTCAAACACTATGAAGACCAGGCTGACCTCAAAATCACAAAGATTCACCTGCCTCTGCCTCCTAGCGCTAGAATCAAAGGCATGTGCCACTACCCTCAGCATGAAACTCAGCAACTGTATACACAGTGTTCTAGCTGAAGCAGCTGTTAGGACAGCTGCTACACCAGCACGTTCCCAGGATGAACAGCAGATATGCAGATGTCTTTTCACAAAAGTCAAGCTTAACTCTTCAGGGATTTATTTCTTAGACTGCTACATGAATAGCTAACACATGTAGCAGGAATTCCTCAAGAAGACAAGACTAGATATCTACTGGAGGAATGAGTGTACTCAGCTCCTCTCTGCTCTCTGTCTGGACTGCAGACAGAATTGGTGAAGATGTACCAAAAAAAAAAAAATGCTAAATATCACTAAGTTGAGCAGAAAGTACCCATGGAGCCAGGTAGACAGTCTGAGAAAAAGAAGGACTGAATGCATTCACAGACCCCAAAACTGAGTGCTCACAAAGGACCAGACAGCTTGTTAGAGAGACTTGGGCCTGTGCAAGCTTCGCACAAATGGGAAAATTCATCTCCTGCTTTTCTTAATGAGAAAGTCACCTAAGGCCTTGGCTTTTAAGTGCATATCACAGACACCAAAAACATCAATTAGTTCAATCTGGTCCATCTTGGGGAGGTGAGAACAGAAATTCCACCTCCCCCTACCTGCCCTGTTCTTCATCACCAAATTAGTTACTAACTGATTAGCACACCAATTAAACCACTGAAAACAAACAGCAGCAGCAGCTGCAGTTTTATAGAGGCTCCCAGAGGCTAACGAGCTCCATGGTTAACCAGCCAAGCTTTCCCAACAGCAAGGTTGCCAGGTTAGAAGGACACACCACCACTTCCAAACACCCAGACCTAAAAGCAGGAAAGAAAGTCTGCGGACAGCATCTCCTTGGAAAAGCACAGGTGACTTGGTTTCTGAGACTTACATTCAGAGGTGTCCTGGTTCTCCATCACTGATCTCTCTGGCTTCCTTACGTGTCACCCGACGTCCTGTAGCCTCATGGGGCCTCCTGCGCACTGCTTGAGCCCAGCTTGTCTGACCTCCACAGCTGCAGGTCAATAACCTTCTCTGGAAACTCTCAACTCTCCTACTTGTCCTCTTACCTCTGTGGTGGTCATTTTGTCTCCCTTAATTCTCTTTTTACCTACTGCCATACCCTTCCCACCATGGTGGACTATACTCTCAAACTGTGAGCCAAGCAAACACTCCTTCCTTTCTTTCTTCTTTTCTTTTGTTTCTTTCTTTCTTTCTTTTTCTTTTTTCTTTTTTTTTTTTTTTGTGTGTGTGTTTGTGTGTGTAGCCCTAGCTGTCCTGGAACTCCCTCTGTAGACCAGGCTGGCCTCGAACTCACTGAGATCCACCTGCCTCTGACTTCCGAGTGCTAGGACTAAAGGCGTGCGCCACCACCGCCCGGCATACTTCCTTTCTTAAGGTGCTTTGGTTGATAGGTATTTTGTTGTAACAAGGAGGAAGAACCACTAATGCACACACCCAGTTCCATTTTAACAGATAAGAGTTAAGACATTGGCCAAGTCTGTTCAGCTGAGCAGCAGTGTACCTAAGCAGTCTGCCTCCAGAGTCCCAGCTGTCCTGAAACTCACTCTGTAGACCAGGCTGGCATGGAAATCGCATAGATCCACCTGCCTCAGTTTCCTGAATGCTGGATTAAAGGTGTGTGCCACCACGTCTGGCTCCATGTTTGTTTTGGTTTTTAATATTTATTTTATTATTTATTTATGTGTATATGGGTATGGGTATTGCATATGTGCAATACCCACAGGAGCCAAAAGAGGGCACCAGATCCTCTGGAGCTAGAGTTATACATCATTGTGAGCTGGCTAACATGGATGCTGGGAACCAAACTCTAGTTCTCTGTAAGAGCAGTATGCACTCAGCTGCTGAGTCATCTTTCTACTCCATCTATGTATATATTCTTTGAATGAAGAAATATTAAATATCTGAAGCTGAAGTTGGGGTATAGTTTACAGGTGCTTACTTGTGAATGTGTGAGGACCTGGATTTACTCCCTAGCACTCGAGTGTGATTGTATAAATGTACACACACACACACACACACACACACACACACACTCCAAAAACAAAACCAGAAAAAAAAAACCACCACAAATAACAACACAGAAGCTATTAAAATGAAACCTAAAACATTTGAAAACACAAAACTTCGTGGCTTTTGTGTGTGTGTGTGTGTGTGTGTGTGTGTGTGTGTGTGTGTGTGTGTGTGTGTGTGTGTGCCCCATGGAGATCAGAGGACAACTTGCAGGAATCAGTTCTCCCCTCCCACTGTGTGGACCCTCAGGCTTAGGGCCTGTGCCTTTACCTGCTGAGCCATCTTACTAGCCCCAGAAAAGGTTACATCGTAAGAGTTTATGTATAAACTATTCTTTACCTCTCTCAACCAAGGAAATGGGCTTTAATCTATAGAATGATAAAGTTAACATAAAACTTCATCACTATGAGACACTGAAACTCCATAAGAACCCTTTGGAAACTCTAGGAATGCTGCTTTTATCACTCAAGAGTATCCCACTCAGGAAGCAGAAAGATGGACAAAATCACCAGTTGTATCTTGTGGTTGTACCCCTCAAGTACACAGAATGCCATCTCCGGTCCACAAACTTACCCTGAATTGCAGATAGATACACAAAAGTGTCCTCATGCTCCAAATTCTCCAAGAATATCTGGAAGCACAAAACAGGGTAAGATGATTCTCAAAGAGCAAAAAGACACGGAGCCCCTTTATCACTGTCTCAGAGGAGTAATGTTTTTCTTCTTGGTAGAAATTGGTCTGACATAGAACCAACCTGGTGAGGAAAATGGTTTATTTGCTTCAAGTCCAATTCCACTAACAGTTTAAAGGGAGCCGGAGGGATTAGGGGGAAGGAACTTCTTACTTCTTCTTCTTCTTTTTTTTTTTTTTATGTGCACTGGTGTTTTGTCTGCATGTATGTCTGTGTGAGGGTGTCAGATCTTGGAGTTACAGATAGTTGTGAGCTGCCATGTGGGTGCTGGGAATTGAACCTGGGTCTTCTGGAAGAGCAACAGTCAGTGCTCTTAACCGCTGAGCCATCACTCCAGCCCCCGGGAAGGAACTTCTTGAAGTCATCAAGTATATACCAGTACTAGTTATGGAAATCAACACATATAAGAATAATCAACAGGTAAAAACTTGATGTGCAAACCTGAGAACCTGAGTTTGATCCCTGGATCCCATGGTGGAAGAAGAAAACCAACACCCAATGTTATCCTTTGACCTCCACAAACACACTGCGGCATATGTGTACCCACACTCACACATATACATCATACTCACACACAATACTATCCATAAACATTTTTAAGAAGAACAGTCCTCAACATTTTTCTGTGCTAGCCCATGGTGGAAAACATTTTCAACATAGGTGGCCAGATATATTCTGATGCTTTCCCCTGAGCTAACACAGCACGTGGGGTTACAAGGGAGACAGAGATGTTATTATTACAGAGGCAATTTTAGGTCTATTCCACTTTTTAAAAACCTTGCAAATTGTAGCCCTGTGATTGACATTGCTAACAAACTACTCTTATTCTTTCCCAAATTAGGAACTTGTCAGGGTGTCAAATGCAGTGTGGTTGACCTAGAAGACACTATGATGGCATGTTAAATTTGGGCCCTACCATGGGAGCAAGGGAAAGACAGCAGCATGTGCTCACGTTCCTCTGATGGCTGTCTAGGGAAGGTAGGAGTGCCTGTTCATATACCACTCAGTGTCCTTTGCTCGACAGAGTCTTGATTTCAACTTCATGCTACTGGTGTCTACACTACCGAGGGAGAGCTGAAGATGAGTCTAGATGGGATGATGACTAGAAGACATTGGGGTTGCATATGGAGTGAAGGACACAATACAGAGTAATAGCTATGAGAATAAAAAATAGGAAATATTTTAAAGACTCCACAGAAAAAGAATTGACAGGTGTCCAGGCTATTCAATTTTATTTTATTTTATTGTCAACTTGACACAAGCTGGGGTTATCTGGGAAGAGGGACTCTCAATTGAGAAAATGTTTATCATCAGTTTGGCCTGTAGGCAAAGCTAGAGGGCATTTTCTTGATTGATAACTGATATGGGAGGGCCCAGTCCATGTGGGTGGTGTCACCCCTGAGCAGGTGGTCCTGGGTGCTGTAAGAAAGCTAGCTGAGCAAGCCAAGGGGAGCAAGCCAGTAAGCAGAACTACTCCAGAGTTTTTGCCTGCCTCTACAGTTCTACCTTAAGCTGCTGCCTTGACTTCCCTAAATGGACTGTGACCTAGGATATGCAAGCCAAACAAACTCTTTTCTCCTCAAAGTTGCTTTTGGTTACAGCAATAGAAACCCTAACTAAGACAAGAGGTCTAAAAGGCCGAGGACAGAGAGGAACAGAGAGGGTTATAAAATATACATGCCATGAAAGCATGGGTTTCGTTTGTGGGAAGAAAGGGGTCAGCAAGAGTTGAGATGGGGACCAGGAGGACAGCTGTGGAAGGGACGACAGCTAATCCTGATTGCCAACTTGATGAGATTTAGTCACCACAAAAACAAACCTCTGGGCACATCTGTGAGGGAATTTCTCGACTGAATTCATTGAGGTGGAAGATCCACCCTAACTGTAGGTGGCACTCCTCCACAAGTTGGGATCCTGGACTGAATCAAAAGGAGACAGGAAGCCAGTGAGCTCGGAACAAGTAAAGGTGGCTGCTGCCGAGGCAGAAGATCTGAGGTCTGTCCCTGGAAGCAGCTCCTTACAACTGGTTCTCCGATCACCACATACTCACTGTGGTGCCCACAACCCTCACCCATCCCACTGCACAAAACACAAATTTAAATGTAACAAAAAACCCATTTCCTTGCATGATAACCAAAAACTAATTTAAAAAATAAAAGGGACAAGAGTGTGGTGGTGCATACCTGTGATCCCAGCACTTGAGAGGTAGAGGCCGATGATCAGGAGTTCAAAGTCAGTCTGGGCTACATGAGACTCCATTTCAAAAATTCAAAAAATAAGTCTGGCATGACGGGACATACTTGTAATCCTAGCCTTTTGGAGACAAGTCAAGAAGATCCGGCTTTCAGGATCACCCTTGGCTATGTACCAAGTTCAAGAATTGCCTGGGCTACCTGAGACTTTGTCTCAAAAAACAGAAAAAGAAAAACGAAACAGGAGACGAATAGGGGATGGGAAGATGATTTCAGGGGGGAAAGTGCCCACTGTGCAAGTGTGAAGACCTGAAGATCTTCGGCATCCTTTTCAAAGCTCAGCACTGACAGGTGGAGACCGAAGGATTACAGAAGCTTGACAGGTAGCCAGTTTAACCTACCGGGAGTTCTAGGTCCAGTGAGAGACTCTCTCAAAAATAAGATATAAAATGACAGAGGACCCAGTGCTGATGTCTGGCCTCTACATCTGTACACACCGACATACACATACACACACACACACATACACACACACACACACACACACACACAAGAAAGCCATTTCTGTGAAGTTCTTAGTAAAAAATAATTAGCAGAACTTGGTAAACATAGCAGATGAAGATTAAATGCAGTTAAAGGAAATTCCAAAGGTGATTCCAGCATGCACTATCTAAACTAGCATTTCACAGGATGTTTGGGGGATAATAGTCACTCAAAGAAGATTTGTGAGTTTCAATATTATATCCCTGCCAGAAAATCCTTGGAGTATGTCTTCAATTCATCTGTAAGATGAGGCTAATACCACATTGCAGTTGTGAGGATGAGAGACAGTTTCAGTGGGGTATATGGCTTGGTTCAACAAACAACAGGTATTATTACACAATACTTCCAGTATCGTACCAACTAACATAAATGTTTTCCATCAGAATTATAATTTGCAGTCAAAGGGCTAGACAAATAGCTAGATCACCATCATCACTACCAAGGCTTAGAAAGGTTGAGTGTGCTACCCAGGAGTTGAGATTGGGTCTCAGACAGAAAAGTTTCCACGCCCCTTGTTCTTACTGTAATCCTCACTCAAGTCCCAAAGACTTCCAGAAAAGGGAGAGATCCTAAGCAGTATGCACTCGTCAGTCTAGAACATCAAGGACAGCTTTTTGTTGTGATGGACTCCAAAGAGTGGAGGAGACCCGATAGATCCACCGCTGCTCTAAGAGGGACCCACTCAAGGTGAGGCTTCCTTAGGAAGGGTACCTGCCCATCTCTGCGAATTGGCTTACGCTGGCCCACTGCCTGTCTGTTACATGCTCACACTTGGTCAGTGTGTTAAAGTCATATGAAAATCAACCTTTTCCCCTGGCAATCCACCACATTGCTCATATATAAAAATCCTGGCACTCTAGCCGGGCGGTGGTGGCGCACGCCTTTAATCCCAGCACTCGGGAGGCAGAGCCAGGCGGATCTCTGTGAGTTCGAGGCCAGCCTGGGCTACCAAGTGAGTTCCAGGAAAGGCACAAAGCTACACAGAGAAACCCTGTCTTGAAAAACCAAAAAAAAAAAACCAAAAAAAAAATCCTGGCACTCTATTCATGCTCAATTGAGCAACCCTATGCGGTCTTCTACACCCTTCCTACCTCAATCGGACTTCTCAACAATTTAAGTTCCTGGAGGATAATCTAGGACAGTGCTTGACACACGGTCAATGTTTAAAAGACACCTGAGTTAGGCTAGTCATGGTGGCTTATGCCTTAAATCCCAGCACTCAGGAGGCAGAGACAGGTGGATCTCTGTGAGTTCCAGGCCAACTAGGGCTCCACAGTAAGATCCTGTCTCAGAACAACAGAAAACAAAAACCCCCGAACTGAATGTCTGTCCATGTGCCTGGGCAGTGTGTTCTACTCACCTGGAGAAGCTTCTTTTGTTCCTCGAGGGCTCTTGCTTCTCTCTGCTCTACCCAGCGGGAAAGAGTGCGCAGAGCAGCAGCCCGGGTTGGAATCTGGGGATCACAGGCTGATAAGAGAACCTCCCGCAACTGTTCTGTGGTTACACCTCTAGGTGGCTCACTGGACTCCTGGCCTGTTCTTGGGGGGTCCTGTTCTTGTTCAGGGTGGTTCTGAGCTGCTTCTGTGGGCGTGTCATGACTGGTTTGTTGCGGTTCTTCTATTTTCCATTTCGGGTCTTTTTTGTCCAGGGTCCTTTGGGCAGCTGTACTTACAGCCTCAGTGGAAAAGGCTCCATGAGTAGAGATGGTAATTCGGAGATCAACAGCGAGTTCTTGGATGACAGGGTCAGGGTATGTATTAGAGACCTTCTCCAACAGAGGCAGCAGCTGCTTCAGAACTGCAAAATCACTGGATTTCAACTATAAAACGAAAATTGAAAAACAGTAAGTAAAATTAATGTAGAAAATGTTAATAAGTGAATAAAGGGACAACAATCATGCCATGTTCACGGTGCTATCAGCACACTACCTAGGACAAACACTTAAGAACTATTTGCTAAATAATTACAGCTAACATTTATTGAACACTGGCCACATACAGGCACGTTTGTAAGTTAATGAGCACACACATCTGTATCCCTGAGATAAAGTGCTGATTAGTTCCTACATTTGATGCCCAGAATCGTAAGCCAGAATACAGTTAAGTGTAAAGTGAAGAAGTTACAATCTCATGTCTGTCATCACAATGGGGAGACTGGAGCAGGAGGATTACCCTGAGTTCAATGCCAGCTAGGGCTACATAATGAGCTATAGAACACCCTGGGATTCTGTCTCAAAAGAAAACTATAATGAACAAAAAGTCATATTTTGGAATATAAAAATTAAACTTTTGACTAAAATCATCCTTTAATACTGCTGGGACTGGAGAGGTGGCTCAGAGTTAAGAGCACCTGCTGTATAATCAAGAGGACCAGAGTTCAAATCCCAGCACCCACATGAGAAGCTACACTTTCCATGCACACCTGTAATCCCAGCTCCAAGTAGGGTGGAGACAGGAGGATTATTGGGACTCCCTGGCTTCTAGCCTAGTAGAGAAACCCTGCCTCAAAACAGTAAGTAAAGAGTAATACAGGAGGACACTTCATACCCTGTTCTGGCCTCTGCACACACACAGGTGCACACATGTGCATATACACTCTTACACACAAATACAAATAGATAATAAATGAATCTTTCAAAAAATACTTATTTCTGCTAGGTTTTTGGATGTTAGCAGTCCTGAAAGATTCTAGATCTTTTTGTTTTGTTGGGGTTTTTGTAAGCTTGTTTTTGCTTTTTTGAGACAGGGTTTCTCTATGTAACAGCTCTGTCTGTCCTGGAACTCACTCTGTAGACCAGGCTGGCCTCGAACTCACAGAGATCGGCCTGCCTCTGCCTCCCAAGTGCTGGTATTAAAGGTGTGAGCCACCACCACCCGACTGCTTTGTTGTTTTTGTTTTTGAGACTGGTTCTCTCTACAGAGCCCTGGCTGTCCTGGAACTCACTATGAAGACCAGGTTGGCCTTGAACTTCTGGAGATCTGCCTACCTCTGCATCCCCCTCAACACCCCAAGTGTTGGGATTAACGGTGTGTGCCACCATACCTGGTCAGATTCTAGATCTTGAAAGCACTACATCAAACCTAGTTTAAAGCAGGTTTAAAAAAAAAAAAAAAAAAAAACAACTACACAGGACACTGGTAACAACAGAAATAATTTTATAAAAATTATATAAGGCTCTGAAAATCTTTAACAATGTTCATAAATGAACACAATGAAGATAATTCCATTTTTAGATGGCTAAATCGCAATAGCAAAAGGCACTGGAGACAACTAGTCCTTATCTAACTAAAAGATCATTTTAAAACTTATTTATGGGGTTGGGGATTTAGCTCAGTGGTAGAGCGCTTGCCTAGCAAAGCGCAAGGCCCTGGGTTCAGTCCTCAGCTCTGAAAAAAAAAAAAAATTTATTTATGCCGGGTGGTGGTGGTGGCGGCGGCGGCGGCGGCGGCGGTGGCGGCGGCGCACGCCTGTAATCCCAGCACTTGGGAGGCAGAGGCAGGTGGATCTCTATTAGTTCGAGGCCAGCCTGGTCTACAGAGCTAGTCCAGGAAAGGCACAAAACTACACAGAGAAACCCTGTCTCGAAAAACCAAAAAAAAAAACAAAAAAAACTTATTTAATTTATTGTGCATGTGTATGTGCACACGTGTACTCGGTTATGCCCGAGACACAGTGCCTCTTCATGCATGCGTAGGTCAGAGGGCAATTTTGTGGAGTTGGCTCTCTCACTCCACTTTTACATGGGTTCAGGGGATCGAACTCGGGTCTTCAGGTCTGTGCAGCAAGTGCCTTTGCCTGCTGAGCCATCTTACTGACACTGATGTAAAATTGGGGGCTGAGCAGATGGCTTGGCGGGTAAGAGCACTCACTGTATAAACACGAGGCCCTGAGTTTGAATCCCCAGCACCCATTCTATCTCAGGGCTGGGAGGTGGAGACACTGAGAGACTCTGCTTCAAGGGAACAGGCAGAGAGTGACAGAGCAAGACCCCTGGCTCTTCCTTTGGCTTTTGATGCACAAATGGTCACATGGAGATTCAAAACTAAGGCGAGGGACATAGCAAGGGGGAGAGCAGCAGCTTAGCTTGTGCAGGGTCCTGGCTGAAGGGACTGTGCTTTCTAAGTAAGGGATCTTTTAGGCAGCAAACACCTACCTAGTAATGCTTGAAATTCTGAGAAAACACTCAGGTTACCTAGGGGATAATAAGCAAGAGGCCTGTGAAAACACTACGTGTGGATCTCCTTTCCCTGTAGCAACACGTGACTAATGTTCCCAACACATCCATGGTTTACTGAGGTCTGCAGTTGCCCATTAAGGGAGAGGGCAGTGTTTTTAAACTTTTAAAAGCCTATGTCCTTTGATAAACATTAAAAGAGAAAAAAGTAAAAAACAAAAGAAGAAAAAAACCAAACTTGCCTCATTTGCTAAAAATACTCTTTTCCTTTCTTTTTTTCTTCCTGCCTTTTTTCCATCCATTCAAGCTGTTTATTAGCTGCTGTAGCAGGCTTATTAATAATGAGCAGAAAGCAGGAAATGCCTGCTCGAGAGGCAACAGCAATTAAGAATGAATGATGTTCTATAGAGAGAGTGTCCAGCCCAGTGAAGGAGGAGTTAAAGCAATGGCCTTTGGCAAAGAAAGGAAGGTAGAAAGAAAGAATGGATGGAAGAAACAAGGGAAAGGAACGAGACAAGACGACGTAAATAGCACGGAACAAGGGAAACTAGACGACTGTCCCTTTAGAAAGAAGATACACCTTTGGTCTCTCAGTAATAAACCTCACTATGAAATCTGGGCTTAAAGGTTAGGAGTCCAGCCTTTAATATACATCCCATTGCTGCCCTGGCACGATATAGCTTCAGTTTATCCTAAGGCCAGAACGGCCTGCTCAGCTTCACTAACCAGGGCAACAGTGGGCCCACCAGCTCTGCAACACCGAGCAGAAACTGCTTCCTGGGGGGACAGGAAAGACTCCCCAATGTAATACTTTTACTGATGACCAAACCTGGAATTTAGGAAATGAGTATGGAATTACAGTCGTCTTGTTAGCAATCTTAAACCTGTACTTTCTCCAAATTAACTCCTCTTCCCAGATGTTTTAATAGTCACCTTAATTACATGAACTAGAAAGGAATGAAGAAAGTCCCCGATGCTGTTAGATTCTGTTTCATTGGCCAGAACAACGACTCCTAACAGGGACGATGCAGAGCATGGTGTTCTAGGCCCTACAGCAAAGACTTAGAGTGACCGTCGTCACTTAACAGCACAGTCTCCAAGTGTGACTTTCTTGTGAATACAAGACAAACCTAGCATCACTATGGTTCTGTGGTTAAGAGCACCGGCTGCTCTTCCAGAGAACCGGATTCAATTCCCAGCACCCACATGGAGGCTTGGAACCATCCAAACTCCAGTCCCAGGAAAGCCTACAACCTTCTCCTGAGCTCCTTGGGCACCGGGCACACACGTGCTACACATACACATATGGAGGTAAAACATTCATATACATAAATAAAATAAATCTAAAATAAAATGTAAAAAAGAAGCCCTTGCTCGGCGTGGTGGTACATGCCTTTAATCCCACCACTCAGGAGAAAGAGGCAGGCAGATTTCTGAGTCAGTGGTCTACAGAACAAGTTCTAGGACAGCCAGGGCTACACAGAGAAACCTGTCTCAAAAAACCAGAAAAAAAAAAAAAAAAAGAAAGAAAAAAGAAAAAGAACTTGTAAGCGCATGAATCAAGCAGGAAACAAACAAACAAACAAAACTTAGCAAATCTCGGGCAGAAGTAAAGAGGGTGATGTGTTTTTGTTCCCTTCAAATGCACAGTCAAGGAGCCCAGGCTGCAGGGATGAGTCGGGGGGGGGGGGGGGGCCCCCGCTCACAGGGGGGCAGGGATGGGCAAGGGCTGTGCAGGTCTAGCAAGTCAGGCCTGGCCAGTGAATACAGCCAGCCTCCAACAACAGGCTTCTGGAGGAGAGATGGGAGAGTTCTGTGATTTGTTATATTGTCTGAAATAAGCACTAAATAAGAAGATGCAACACAGACACATAATCCATGCTTTCAATTTATAGAAACTATCCAAATTAATATTCAATCAGAAAAACAAAACTCAACTAAGCTAATTAAATCCAGTAACAATCCAACTTAAGCTATTCCATCTGTGAAGCCTTCCTTGTTACATCTAATATGGCTCTGGAACCTTAGCCAAAAGCTTATTTTCTCAAATGACATGTGAAATATAAAATTAAGAATACTAAAGAAATCCAGGGAGAAATGGGATTCACATTGACAACTAGCCCAGATAAAATATTTCTTCTCCTTAAGAACAGGCAGGAGTGTCCCACCTTTTGACACTGAGATATACTGTTGTAGTCTGGGACACAGGCTGCTGGCTGAATATGCTTGTTAGAATGTTGGAGATGTAACACGGGGAAGTGAAAGGCCCTGGGTTTGATCTCCAGAAACACAGAGGGAAAAATTAAGTCTAGAGAGAGGCAAATCCCAATATATCAAGAATCAAATCAGATTTGAATGCTCAAACTCAAAATGCATTCCTTGCTCATGGGTGTTGAGTTTGATTTCGTTAATACCTGCTCTGAGACTGCTGCTTTCCTGTGGTCTCCTAACTTAACCAGTCACACCCACAAGCATAATCTAGCTCTGCCTATCCTTCTCCTCGGCCAGCACTGTCTCCAGGGCTCTACAACTCAGCCACACTGGCTCCATCAGTGCTCAAGAAACGCAAGCTTTTCTCTGGTTCTGAGCCTTTGTCACGAGTTTCCTTAACTGAAAGGGTTTCTTTCACCTGTTCTATACAGGCCACACTCAAACACCTATTTCTCCTTCAAGTCTTGGTGAAACTACCTTGGCTCACTGAAGACCTCTCAGCCTAGCTTAGGTGTTATGTTCTCATGGTCCCCCACCCCCACCCCTGCCCTCTTCTTTTGAGGCATTCCACTCAATTCTAATCATATTTTTAAAACATGGTGGGTATGCCTCCCTCCCTGGACTGTGGTATGAGGTATAAGCCATGTCTGTCTTATCCACTACCATATTCCCAGATCTTTAGCTCAGTATCTATCATGTGGCAAATATGCAATCAATAACGGTTGAATGAATAAATTAAAAAATTATAAACTAGGGCTGGAAGGATGGCTCAGTGGACTGCTCTTGCAAAGGACCTGTGTTTGGTTCTCAGGACCCACATCGGGCAGCTCACAGTTGTCTGCAAATCCATTTCCAGAGGATCTGACACCATATTCTAGCCTCAGCAGACACCTGCACTCATGTACACATAGACATACACATAATTTAAAAATAGAAATAGAGCTTAAAAACCACAAGTTAACTATGCAAAAATCACATAAGCTAAACTGGCCCTGGTGGTGCACACCTGTAATCCCAGTGTTGGGAGGTAGGAAGGAATATCATCAATGTCATTGAATTCAAGCCCAGTCTGGGCTACATGAGACTCTGCCTCAAACAAAAACAAAACAAAACTCTTAAAAGTGACTGGGAGCAGGCTTAAGTGTACTGCAAAGTATGGGCTAAACGGTGGATCCTGAGCTAAAGTGGAACTCTGCAAAACGAATGCCATCTGAGCAGCCAAGAGGTTGTAAGGATTTCCCACCAACTCTTTGGAGAGTGAGAGCCAGAGAACTGAATGTCTGCCTCAGGCACAAAACACTATGCTCAATGTTTCCAAAACAAGCTTGTTCTTTGTAGGAAAGAGCCCTGTCTTTTCAACAGTGACATTCGGCAGGTCAGTGTGAAGTGGCATGCTTACCATCTAGGTTAGGGATGATTCTCATTAACATACCAAGTTGGCCATCCTGGTTCACCTGAATATAATATCATTCTTTTTTTTTTTTTCCTTGAAGATATGGAAGAAAGGCAGCAGGTCTTCTTCCCTACTCAAAATTCAAGTTTCGCTCACACCCACAACTCACCTGAACAGCTCCTCCTAGCATGACGGCCACCAGGCCCATGCACATGCTCAGTGTCTGGGACTCCACGGTGCTCTCTGCCGCATGGGCCAGGCTCGCGCATGCTCTCTGTAGTGTGGCTGCTACAAAGTCCACCACCTACCAAAGGAGGAAATCCGCATCAGTGACGGGGTAAGAAACAAACGTCAAGTCCATGTGTCTTATGTCTCCATCATCTTCAGCACCACGAGAACATAACGGCTGGTACTGCATAGCAAGAGTGCTGCTCTGTGTGTTTCTGCTTTGTTTTACAATCGCCAGTTTACATAGGATGTTTTGAAAGCTACAGTGACACGTTGGAGAGGACAATGCATGAGGATATAGCGCTCTCTACTCCACCCAGAACCCTCAGGAGCTTAGCAATTGCAGACGCTTCTAAGTATTTTACATGCGTAGTATCAAGTCTTTTTTTTTTTTTTTTTTTTTTTTTGAGACAGTCTTATATACTCATATAGCCCAGGCAGGCCTTGAACTTGCTATGTTGTTAAGGATGGTCTTATACTTCTGTTCTTCCTCCTTTCAAGTCCCACGGGTTGGGATTATAGGTATGTGTTACCATGCCAAATTTATGTGCTGCTAGGAAATCAAACTCAGGGCTTCCTGCATGCTAAGGCAAGCACTCTAGTTGTCTTTTGAGATGGGGGTCTCATGTAGCCCAGGCTAGCCTCCAACTGGATACACAGCTGAGCATGGCCATGAATGACTGATTCCCCTACTTCCTCTACCTCCTAAGTGATGGGATTGCAGGGTTTTGTTATTCTTGTCTTTCTTTTTCTAATTCAGAACTGGCAAGCAATCCTAGGGTCTTGCTTAATTCATACTAGGCAAGGGCTCTACCACTGAGCTATAAACCCAGTCCCAAGAACCCATTTCTTATAAAGAAAAGAATTCTCCCTTGTCCCAGACAGCCATTGCATTTGATATTTACCCAAGGGAGGTAGAAACTTATGGTCACAGAAAAACCTACAGATGGTTGTTTATATAAAGCTGCTCTAATCATTATTCTCAGAGCTTGGTGATGACCAAGATGTCCTTTATAAGGTAAGTGGATAAATAAACTGATTTGTCAAGACAATAGGAGATCATGGGCTGGAGAGATGGCTCAGAGGTTAAGAGCACTGACTGCTCTTCCAGAGGTCCTGAGCTCAATACCTAGCACCCACATGGTAGCTCACAACCATCTGTAATAAGATCTGGCACCCTCTTCTGTATACATAATAAATAAATGAATCTTTAAAAACAAGACAATAGGAAATCAGTCAGAACTGTAAGTGACCTATTAAGCCATGAAAAGACATGGAGAAACATCAGTAAGGAGAAATACTACAGAGTGAAGAAGCCCACTGAAAGGGTACAAGTGAGAAAGAGATGACTAGATAGAGCACAGAGGACAGGTGTGATAGTGAATCTAGTCCTAGGACACTAGAATGGTAGACATGTGTAACCTATTAACTGCACAACATCCAGAGGGAACCCTAATGTAAGCTATAGACTCTGAGTGATAAGGATGTGTTAGTGTAGATTCATCACTTACAACAAAGGGGCCTGGAATGTAGCTCAGGGGTAGAGACTGCCCATCTAGCAGGTAGAAGGGTTAAGTCCCCAGGAAACACATGCATGTACACACACACACACACACACACACACACACACACAAAGAGATAAAGAAGTCACAAAGGTATTGCTCTGTGGTAGTAACAGGGAGGCCAGGGACATGTGGGCACAGGAGATACATGAGAAACCTCTGTATACGCAAAATCTTGTTATCTAGTTGTGAACTTAAAACTGCTCTAAAAAGTAAACCCTGGGGGTCGCAGAGATGGCTCAGTGATTAAGAACACTGGCTGCTCTTCCAGAGGACCCAGGTTAAATTCCCAGCACCCTCATGGCAGTTAACAACTGTCTTTAACTCTAGTCCCAGGGGCTCAAATGCTGTCCTTCTAGCCTCTGTGGAGACTTTACACATGGTAGACATATGTACATTCAGGCAAACAAACATACACATAAAAAATAAAATCTCAAAAAAATTTGTTGGGCAGTGGTGGTACACATCTTTAAACCAGCACTCAGGAGGCAGAGGCAGGTGGATCTCAGTGAGTTTGGGGCCAGCCTGGTCTACAGAGTGAGTTCCAGGACAGCCAGGGCTATTACACAGAGAAACTTGAAAAACCAAAAAGTAAATAATAAACAAACAAACAAATAAATAAATAAAGTAATAAAATAATTCTGGGCCAGAGAAATGACTAGGTGAGTAAAATCACTTGCCAGGCAAGACTGATGACTGTGTTCAGATACTCAGAACCCACTGTAAAGCTGGCAACGGCAGCATGTGTCTGTAACCCCAGCACTCCTAGAGTGACATGGGAGGCAGAGACATGAGGAATGTCACAGAGTGGAAGAGTCCCACCTGGAAGGCTTCTGGAACCTTACAGGTCAGCTTGCCTGGAGTATACAGCCCAGCAACAAATGCAAGAGAGATCTTGTCTCAAAATCAAGTTGGAAAGGGAGAGAAAAATCAATGCCCAAGGTCATCCTCTGACCTCCACAGACACACAGGTACACACATATTTGATCAAATACATACATAAAAATAAATATTACTTTCTGACCATTTAAAATGTTATCTGAAGGAGGTTTCCTCCTTGGAGATGTCTCAGTTCCACATCTGATAGTATTAATTCTAGTAAGCAATGAATATGGAAGAAGATACCCAATTTTATTTATAAGCCAGCATCTCCAATCAATCTATAAATGATTCAGAGTCATATTCTAAGTTACATGTTTCTACAGACTTAAGATAGTTCACACACAGATTTTACGTAATAGTGTGGGCTATCAATAACCTTTAAATAGAATTAATTTGGTCAGCATCATTTGAACTGAGCCTGGTATAATCATCTTAAGTACAAACTCCTTTGAACAAACAACAGCAGACACACATTCACGCACGTACTCATGCACACGTGTATATTCAGGATTAATGGCTCAAAGGGGAGATATCATTTTGTAAATGGGAAGGGTAGGATAGGTTGTAATAAGCCTCTAAACACTATGCAAGGTTGCATGTTTAACTCTCGAGACAAATCACATGCTATGCTAGAATCCTCACTGCAAGCGTAAAGCTGGGAGAATGGCCTGTTAACACTTGTCTTCTGGGACAAGGCAGGAAACTGGAAAGGCTATTTAAATGTTCCATGCACAGAAACAATGCCGGCAATTTCCACCTCCCTCTCTGACCCTGGGATGTTACTGATTTATATACCATTTGGGGCCACCTAGTTGTGCCGTCGAAAAGGTTTTAAAGTGTGCCTTGTTTTTATTTAGCCTCTATGTTAGCACAAGACTTGTTTAATTGCTAGAGCTAGCTTTTCCTAAACTCCTTTCTAACATATTTTTTAATGTTAAAAACATTACATTTGCTTATTCTCATGTGATGCACACACACATACCACATGTGTGTGGAGGTCAGAACAATTTGTAGGAATCTGTTCTCTCCTTCTACCAAATGGGTTCCAGGGGTTGAACTCAGGTTGTGAGATTTGGTGGCAAGCACCTCTATGTACTGAGCCATCTCACCTGACCCATTATGTACTGTTTTAAAAAGGCTGGCAGCCAGGCATGGTGGTGCACGTCTTTAATCCCAGCATTTGGGAGGCAGAGACAGGAGGATCTCTGAGTTAAAGGCTAACCTGATCTACAGAGCAAGTCCCAGGACAGCCAAGGGGTACATAGAGAAACCTTGTCTTGAAAAAAACAAAACAAAACAATAAAATAAAAAGGCTGGAAAACAAATATGATCCTACTCTTAGGGAAGAAGCTTTCTGTTTGTGTGCATGTAAAAACAAAACAAACGACTGAGAATCAGGAGAACATGGAATTGAGAGAGACACAAGGTCCCGAGGCACTGAGCTGGAGGAAGGGAGCAGTGAATGATCAAAATACATTGCATAAATGTACGAAAATTTCAAAGAATAAAAAAAATTATTAAAGAACCTGGGAACTGTTAACTATGAAGCAATGGCCAGGTATTAATGTATGTCATCAACAAAATCCCTTTCTCCTAAACTTCCTTTTGTTTGTGATAAGGACACTGAGATAGGGTCTGATGTAGCCCAGGGTGGCTTGAACTATGTAGCCAAGGATGAGCTTGAACTTCTGATCCTCCTTCCAAGTGCTAGGACTCCTTCAGTGTCCAACCAGACTGGCTTCCTGGAGCACCACTTTTGACAGCAGCTTACCCTGCTGTGACTGTGATGGGGCTGCCAACCCAGGAAGAGGTCCACAATGACTGAAGCCTCTTAGGACTTAGGGGAGTTTTCTATTTACCACCACCCGAGCGAGAGTCCTTGCGTTCAGCACCTCTCAGCAGCCTGCTGAAATGCACTACATCACCAGTCAGCCTCCAACCCCTTCCACTCTGTCAGCACTTCGTCAGCAAGTTACACACCTCCATAGGATCACTAAGAGGATTAAATGAGCTAATACCTGTCATGTGTTCAGAATGGAGCCTGGTAAACAGCAAATACCTAATGTTATTATTAAAGAGTAAAGTAATTATAAGCAGTTGACTCAGTAGAACCACAGTCAGGTGGGGAGAGATGAGATAGAACACATCCATGAGAATAAGTCTCCTGCTTTTCAGTCAGAGTTCCCTGACTTCAACATTTAGTAAGAGTAAACCTCTAGGCTGGTGAGATGGTTCAGCAGGTAGAGAAGTACTTGCCCTATAAGCTAGTCAACTGAGTCTGATCACTGGAACCCAAGATGAAAGGAGAGCCAGTGGGGTGGCGTACATCATTAACCCCAGCACTCGGGAGGCAGAGGCAGGTGGATCTCTGAGCTTGAGCCCAGTCTGGTCTACAGGGTGAGTTCTAGGACAGCCACGGCTACACAGAGAAACTACTGTAAAAAAAAAAAAAAAGAAAGAAAGAAAGATAAGATGAGAGGAGAGGAGAGAACCAACTCCACAAAGCCATCCTCTGACCTCCACGAGGCCTCCCGCCTTATACACGTGTACCACATAACAAAAAAATTTTAAAAAAGCCTCTATTCTTTCATTGGGGGATATCTGAAGTTGCAGAAAAGAATCAAAGGTTCCC